ATAACATAACAGGTGCAACATAAAATTATAAAATTCTATAAACTCTACTCTTTAAACCCTTGAGAATAATCTACATAACTATTGACCCGGATAATACTTTAAATAAGAGTCGGCACATCAACTTTATGTTAGTAAAACATATGGGCGAAATTTTTGATGGGAATTTTGTGATTAGTGATGTAGTAATCAAATAATATTTATATTGGCTAAAACCGCTAAAAAAAATCAAAATTATTCATACGTAGATGGTTTCATACTAAACAATATGATTTTTATGAATTTCCATGATATGGCGATCCAGTGATTCGAATTGAATGATTTGGGTACCATTCTATTCGTCACATCGAGACGACTCTAATGATTAGAGAATAATCAATCCAGATCACCAAGTGACTTTTAATATTCTAGTTTATGAAATCAACCAATGAAAATCAGATCAGTTAACTATTATTAGAATGAAGTTTGTCCAGTTTCGAGGAGTTCGATGGCAAACGATAACCAAAAGTTGGCTTTAGCTGATCAAGCTTTTATCGAACCAAAAAAACAAATAAATGACCAGAATAATATCAATAAATATACTACTTCTGAAGCATATATTCGTTTAACACGGTTCATTGAACTTCTAAACGAGAGTGTTGTCAACAAAAAGATCTCTGATCCATGTTTTGTTTCAGAGGTATGTGTCTTTTTAGAAATCGGGTTCATATGCGTTAATTAATTTCAAAGTATTCCTTTTTAACACGAATAGCTAGTGCAAAAGGTGCTCGATTCTCTGGACACCATTATGTCTTGGATCGATGAGATTCCCCCTTTACCGACATCACAGAGATTTGGTAATAAGGCTTTTCGGGATTGGGTTGCTCGTTTAGAACAGGTTTGCCTCAATTTCATTAATTCCATTGCAAAAAAAATTGAAATCGTCCTTTTTATTTTTGTCATAATTTTACAGAACGCTTCAACTATTCATCGAGACATCTTGCCACCACAATTTCATGATTCGATAATTGAATTAACACCATACCTTACCGGAGGGTTTGGAAATGCTACACGCATTGATTATGGTAGTGGCCATGAACTAAGTTTTGTTTCATGGATTTGTTGTATGCACTTGTTGGATTTATTTCAAGAACAAGATTATAGTGCATTGGTGCTAAGAGTATTTACAAAGTAATATATTATATTATTTTATTTTCTTTATTGATCTGCTACCTG